GTCACACAGCAAATTAAATGCAAAAGTGCTGCTCTTACCCAAAGCCTTTAAAGAGCTGCATTTTTCTGTATTAGCAACAGCTGCTGACCATCGCAAGTTCAAAATGCTGATTTTCCTTGCAGAATTGAACATGCAGCAAAACCATCTGGCTCCAAAGGCTGCTCTAACATGCTGTCTCCACCTAGGAGGCAGCTGTCCTGGGGGCACAGCAACCCTGTGGGCCTGGGCGATGGCTGCACGGCCGTGAGCACCAGGGCGTCAAGGAGTGACCACACTGAGGCTGCCTTCTCCAGGTAAGCTGCCCTCGCTGCAGTAACCTCAGAAGAGTGCCACTGAGCCGGTGAGAGCCCACGGGTGCCCTTCCCTGGAGAGCATGCTACCAGCATCTTCCCCTGCTCCACTGATCAAGGGTTGTCATGGCAACCCAGCGGACAAAGCAAATGCTAAACAGGAGGATGAGCCGTCAAGCAGGCCTCACAGTCCCAAGTGGGAGCATCGGGGAGCTCTCTGGGACATGCTCTGGTAGACATCAAGTTAATAGACAAAAGCGAGTCTAAATAGAAATGACTTCCTATATAGCACAGTATCTTTATAGTTTTATATTATTCTAAGACAATCTAGCAATTAATTCAACTAGTTATTAAATTTAGTACAAAATCTTCTTCATGAGATGTAAAATTTGCAGTTACCAAGAAACTGTGGTTTAAAAAAATATTTCAAGTTGTATGAAGACCATTGTGTCATGCATTTTAAAAAAATATCAGTGGCAATTGCTCAAGCCTTTTAAAGTGAAAGTGACAACTTCATTATCAAGAATATGTAAAATACTTTGGTAAGACAGTAATTTTATTCAAAAGATAAACTCAGGTATTTTAGAAAAGTAGCCACCTGCTTGTTAATAAGTAAGTTAGTAACTCAAATATGCTTTCTTGTCGCCAGAGCTGCAAAGCCCTCAGCTGGATGGGTGTCATCTGAGCTGTTCGCCTAGGCCGTGTGAGCAGGGAGCTCCTAGAGTAAGTGAAGATCACGTTCATCTAACATCCAATGATCAGATAAAAATATCACTCCATTTAAAACAGAAGCTATATCGGTTCTTCTTTAATCTTTGGAAGTTCTTACATTATCAGACTATTTCAGATATGGCTTCTCCATTGACATAGAAATACACACACTTCTCAAAAACCACTAGTAACTAGTAAAAGTCAAACTGCTTTGAGGAACAGAGAAAGATAATTTGTGAACTTCGACATTCTTTTATTTACATGTTAGAGGCTAATTACTGGTTTAGCTGGCTGAATATACTATACGTGAAATTATAATCAAGATTACACTTTTATTTCAAGTAAATTTTAAAATCAAATTGTGTTCACTTTCCCTCAAATGTTTGAATTTGGTTTGAAGTTACAAAATCTGACTAATGAGGCTGATTGCACATTGACATCCAGTGTTTAGCCAAGCTCTGGCATGGTCTTGGGAGGAGGTGTGGGGAGGGGAGGCCATGCTGTGGAACTGGCATGTCCTGCTGCAGAGCCCTGCCTCCACCCTCAGGTAGGACATTTTCATCCATCACGTTGGCTGTGTAATTTTTAGGAGTCAGGAATACACATGGAGAAGGTCTTGGATAGATTTTAGAAAGAGGGATTTAATTATTTCAAAGCTATACGATTTTTTCATTGTAATGATAAATTATTTCAAGGACATCTACTTTTAAAATTAAAAATTAGAACCGAAACCCCAAGTGGCAACTAATTTTAGTGCCACCCCTGTTTTCCCTTTCCAGTGGGGACCGTCCACTTTAGAACGCATCTGGGCATGTCAGCGTCTAGTGATCCTGAAAATCTCCAGTCAGCTGCTGCTGCCAGTGTGCAAGCGCCAGCATTAGCTTAGGAGCAACCTGAAAACCATCACCAAATACCAATGACTCCCCTTTCCTAATCATCTCCCTGTCTTTGTTTTATCCTGCCTGTTTCTACTAAAGCAGAAAAGACTTCAAATATATCTTTAGCCTGATTTCATAAGGCCTCAGTGACATTAAAACTCAGCTCAAGGGTGAGCATGCTGAATTTCTTTTCTCAGATATTCTAAAGAACCACCACCACCCACAGCCTCGGCTGATCTCAGTGTCCTTTCTCAATCGAGCCTCGTGACTGCAGAGTTAGAATGTACTGCCTTTTGACTGGCCCCTGAAAAGGGACACCCAGACCCTTACCCTCTCTTCTTCCATCCATTTCTCTCTCATCTTAGCAGCCAGACCTACAAGGGGCAGGAAGGCCTGGCTGGCACCATGACAGGCCGTGGTGTCCACAAGGCCCCCCCAGGGGGCTTGTCTAGCTGGCCATGGCCCCCCTTTACTGGGAGGGGGATCCTGGGCAGAGGAAGGGATGCTGTGTGTGGCCATCCGCACACAGTCTCTGCCGGCCTGGAGGTAGGCACAGTGCGTGTCAGCCCACGGGCAGCAGGAGTGCGTTACCCAGAGCAGGGCTGGGGCGGTGGGATGTGAACCGTGGACCCTACCTGCCCACTCTCCAATAAAGCAACAAGATGGTTGCAGAGAGTTGACGTGCGCACCTCAATGTGAAGGAGGACACCTCTCGAAGATCACAGGCCTGACAGAACCTTGCCTGTGACCAGTGTCACTTTGCTACAACTTAACACCATCCATCATTTGGCAGTTGGTGAGAGACTCCCTCCCGAAGGATGTCAGAAGCTGTGCCACAGAGCAGCCACTTCATTTATTCTAGAAAAGACAGGGTGACCACACTGCACTTGTAAGGAGAGTGGCCTCACCTGCAGGTGCGACACCTGCAGGGCCCAGGAGGTCTGGGATGCAGGGTTGTGAGGAGGATGGCCTCCCGTCTTAGAACAGGAGGTCTGCGTCTGGCGTCTGGCATCCCCTGCTAACCGCTTCTACAATCCCAGAACCCGGACTCAGATCCGAGGCCAAAGCAGAGAAACCCCAGAACAGGTTCTGGAAGTCTGGGGAAGGGAATGGAAAGGCCAGACTTCGTGCTGGACTGAGTCTGTGTGTCTGCCTGGGTGTGAAGTTTCTGAAAAAGCCAGCTTCTCTAAATTCACTCCAGTGTTTCTAAACTGGTGAAAAGAAACACATTTCCATAAATGCAGTGTATGGGGCGCCAGCGGGAGGCAAAGACAGAAGCACAACGTAATTCGAGCTAGAAAACAGGCCACCGCCCATTGCTCATAGAAGATCTGGGGGCTTCCCCTCAGTCTGTGCAGCGACCTTCTTAGATGTGTCATCTCCCTTCTGCACGCGACTGTTAAGATCACAGTCGTCCTGTTTTATGGACAGTGCCATGTTAAAATTAAGAGTGATAATGGCAGAAACCACAGCAACCACTTCACTCTCGGCTCCGCCTGGCACAACCACTCAAAAGGTAGGCCTCATGTTTTGGTAATTTTTTTTTCGTTATTAACCATATTTGATTTGTGAGAGAGAAAAGCTATCTGGACTTGAATCTGGAATTAAAGATGCAGGTTTTTAAAATGAAAAATGCTATTTCAAGAAAAATAAATGTATATAATGTTAACAGCCTTCTGTTACTATACGCATTAATTCCTGGATCAGTTTAATGATCCTTGAAGATATAAAAGAGTAATTCTAAAGTCACATGCGATATGTTATTTCTATGTGCCTAACTTGGTACAATGAGCCACTGTAGTCACAGCTTTGTGTCATCCCAACTCGGAAGTAGTAACATAAGCAAGGAAGTGTTATGATTCTGCAAACTGTTTGCTACTGTAATTTCAGGGACTACGCTTTGAAATGAAAGCAGAAAGTACACGTCCTAGTCAACAGGTGTATCCAGATGAGCTGGTTAGAAAGCATCTGTCCTACTCATTTCTCTTCAAAAGGAAAGGAAAGGGTAGCAGTACATTTAAATAGTGTCAAATATACAAATTCTTTTCAGACAGAATTCCTTTCTCTAGGAAACAGGGCACATGAGATATACAGGTAATAAATAGTTTTACATCAGAAAGAAAGAGATTTGGTACAGGTAATTCCAGGCCAGCTAAACATAGCAGTAACAGGGCTCTGTACTGTAAGAACATGTCACAAGCGCTGAAAACTCTACAGAATTTAAATGAACACACCCTCTTGAAGTGATTTGGCAGGTATTTACATTTCAGAACAACAAAATGTCAAACTGTGTAAGGCATGGAATATTTCTTGGCAGACCATGCTTGGACACATTCCTTCTGTCCAGAGTTAGGTACACGGTGGCTGGACGTGTTCTGGCACTTTTGTTTTTCTTGTGACTTATTTTTCATAATGATATTCATTTACAACGCAATTTGGCCACGAGGTATGCTATACTCAGGCAGAGCCACACAATCAGTAAATTGGGGCTCAGAGCGAGTAAAGGGATGGAACAGAGGAGGCTGGGGTCTAGTCTTAAGTCTCGGATGGGCACCAGGCCGCTCAAGTTCTTCTGGGTGACTACCTCCCGTGTTCCAATGCTGTGAAAAGGAAGAAGGTTGGGAGAAAGGAAAAGAAAAAGGGGAAAAATAAAGAAAAAAAAAAAAGACACGTGCAATGGATTTTATCAAAAGTATGGGAAAAAAGTAGGAGAACCAAAAGATAATAAAAAAAAAATGGAATGAGGCCACAACAGAAAGAAAAGATGATATGCAGAAAAGGGTGTGAACAGAATACCAAAACAAAACGAGCACAGTTACAAGAAAAAAGGAGAGAAAGAGAAGTGAAAATAAGAAAAAATACTGTAGTCTACTGAAAACAAACACATGTAGGCTGACTAAATGGTTTTCCATGTTCACTGTCTGGGCTGGCCCAGCGCCCCGCATGCCGCCCCGCCATGCTCACATGCGGCCAGACGCGGACTCCGGAAAGCAGGCTGGACATGAAGAACCATTGGGGGTTTGACCTTCTCACAGATGCCTGAGCCGGGCGCGCTGCAGCTTACTTCGCCAGAGCTGCCTCCCAAGTAAGGGCTCAATGATGCCCGTTTAGCTCTAGGACCGCCCCGAGGCGGAGCCTCCCGCAGACCCACCTGGGCTTCAGGCTGAGCAGTGCCGGCTGGGAGCTGCAGGTCAGTCACTGTTTGCATGATGGGATCGACCAAGAATGGAGTCCAACCCAACTCACTGGAAATTTGGGGTCCCGCCTTCGATGCCATGAAGAAATGTCCCGAGGTGAGGTTCCCCGAGGACCCTGGATGCCCTGGAAGGACCCTGCGGGATGTGCCGTCCTGACTGGGGACCCTTCTCCTGCTGTGAGTGCTGGCTGTCACGTCCCCCGCCGGGGCAGTGCTGGGGGTCGCTGTGGCTGCCTGGGAACTGGAACTGGGGACAGAGGGCGCCCACCAGCAGTGACCTACAATCGAGTCAGATGGCGAGAGCCAAGCGTACACATCTCTTCCCAACTCCGCGTGCCACGGTGTCGCCCTGACTCGGGCTCAGTGGGAGCAGTTACAGCCTGGAAATGACCATAAAAACTGGCAAGCACAGCAGATCAGGTGGTTTTTTGCTTTTTTTGTTTGTTTGGGGGTTTTGCTTGCTTCTTTGGAGAGAGAGCTGGTTGTCAGACACCTGCTAGCCCATCACTGGCCACTGCTCACCCTGAGCCCCCAGGACAAAGCCAGCCGAGTGTCAGCTCTGCCCCTCCCCCAGCCCTCCTCCCCACCCTCCCTCCCCCGGCCACCCCACCCACTGCCTGCACGCTCCACTCTTCCACCTCGTGAGATGCAAGCCAGAAAGCAAGAGAACCAAAGCGCATCCCTCCACGCAGGGGCACAGCCGAATCCGTGCTGCCCCTCGGGGCTCCGGCTACTGACCCGGCCACCCCGGGCTGGCAGCCTGAGAACAAATATGTCTTCCCCACATGGGAAAATCCAGAAAACACTGAGGTCAGGCATAACAGTGTCACATTAAGACAAGTGCACGAGGCCAGAGCCTGAGAGGCTGTGAGCTCAGGGGGACAAGGCAGCGGCAGGCACCGGGGGGCCCTGGGGCAGCAGAGGCGACATGGCACTGAACTCCGTTTTCATTTTGAATAACTTCTTCAATGATTACTAAAGTAATATGTATTTATAGCAGAGATTTCAAAAAGTCCAGGACAACATAAACAAGAAACTTGAAAGAGACACCCGTAACTGGAGGCAGGTGGGGGATTTAGGGAGGCAGAGAGAGGCCTGTTTCCACGGCAGGAAGGTCCTTCCCAGCATAGGACCTTCCTTGGGTCCTTACCCGTCATGAAGGAAAACAACGCGACTTTCCAGACTCAGAAGCACTCAGAATGGTGACAGGAACAACTACCCAGAGGGCAGGTGAGCAGGCCCTTGGGACACTGGGTGGGAGTGTGACTAGCATCCTGTCAATCTGTAAAAGCCTTACGACGGTGGACACCTTTTAACCTAAGGAATCAGCGGGGCAAACATGGGTAAGAGAACACACAAGGGTACCCACAGCGCCCTTGTCTAAAGTGCTGGAACACCAGAGACAGCTGAAATATTCAGGGACAGCAAACGGGGCAAATCACGGTGTGCTGGACATAAGGCCTAGTTACTAACCTGAAAAAATGCTCACGAGACAGTTAAGTGAGACGGGCAGGCCGAAACAGTGGGCAGAATTACACACATAAATGCGTTTGTTCGTATGTGTACTTTGTTTTGTGTATTATTCAGGAACTGGTTAACCAACGTGTGGGTTCACCTTGCTCACACCACACGTATGCGCGGACCTACGACAGAGCAGGCATCAACACGCGAGCGCTGCTCCCTGTAGCAGCGGGAGCATGGCGGGGGTGTGGGGAGATGTGAGAATCACTGGAGTGGGGGCTTAGCTGTACTTTCTAATTTTCCTACAAGGAATAGCCATCACTCACGTGGTACCAGCTGTAAAAGTGCTTTCTTTGTGTGTTGTAAGCTGTCACAGACGAACCGTGCACAGCACTCGGCGGGCTGCGGGCCAGCGGGCAGGGCCGCCCACATGTCTGTCTCTCTAAGGAGACCTCTGTGCTCAGATGCAGTTAGAAGGAGCAGCTGTTCTCATCAGATTTGTTCCAGGAGCCAAGACTAGATAGAGGCCTTGACAGAAGTGTACTAACTGGACGGCTGTCTCAGGGCCTGGTCTCCTGAACGGACCTGGTCCTAACATTTGCTCCCACACCCTCAGCTGTGCCCTCCGTTTGTCTCGCTTCCTCGCTGGCGGAGGTCCACATCTCACCAGAGTGGTCCTTCCCCCCACCTGGCAGCTAACGGGGTGTAGGCCCTGCCTCCCCCGGGCACCGGGGCCGCTGAGCCGCCTCTGCCTCCCTGATGCTCTCGTTAGCAGGTGGCCCTATGGTCGCAAGGTCTGGATGAACTGGGAAAGACAGAACAGGACAGAACGGTTCCATTTTTACAAAATGCTACTGTCAAGAGGCAGGGGCTCAGGCATCGCTTTGGTACATGATTGTGAGAAGGTCAAACAGCAGAAACATACAGAAAGGATAAGAGAATTGAACGCTTTAAAGAATTTGGTGAGAGGACAAATGATAGAGAACATTCAGTAGAAATGACTTGGAAACGAGACTTGAACAGCATTGGTGGCTACATTGAAGGAGACGGGAAAGCAGTTTCTTATCCTTTCTTTTGGTATGCGAGGTGAGGTGCTCCCCAGCACTGCTGGAAACAAGGCATCGCTCAACAGCGGACAGAGTTTAGTCCCCGGTTTCACTCTGCAAACACGCCTGCTGCCTCGGAATCAGAACATCATTAGGGTGAGGTGGCCACGGCGCTGGGACGGGACAGGGCTGCTGCCGTGGCCAGAAAACACTCCCTGGACACTGTGCTCATGAGAGCACACCCTGAGGGCCAATGGGGAGGAGCGGAGCGGAGAACACCAGCGCGGCCCACAGACGCAGTGTCTTCCCTCCAGACAGGAAAGAGGTCTACGTGTGATGTCCTCAGCTCGGGCCCTGAATCACCCCAGGAGGGAGGCGGCGGGGGCTGGGGATGCCGTGTGCCGGAGGACGGTCACATGGCTGCATCCGAGCTCCCCGCGCACGCTCCTGCCACCTCGGCTGGCCCCAGGCGCCTGGTCCTGCTCAGAGACACCACTGGGCCTGTTTCCCCCTGACTCCAGAGAACACCGCCTCCATGTGACAGTGCCACTGGTTTGACTCTGTGGACATGTGGCGGCGGCGGCAGCAGGGACTCACCTGCGCATGCACTCCAGCGCCTGCGTGAAGACCTGTGGGGCCATGCCGTGCTCGTGCTGCAGGATCAGGCACTGCTCCAGTGTCACCGACATGGCCGTGCGGTCCTTGGCGCTCTTGCAGCTGGTGAACCGGACCCCGTTAAGGCGGCGGCAGATCTGCCAACAGGAAGACAGGCTGTGCTTAGAGAGGAGACCCCATGGATGGAAACAGGGCAGGGGCTCCGGACATCCCACAGGCTGGGGGCAAGCACTCAACTCCCAGGCCTGGCGTTCCCTCTGTGCCTGCACCCTAGTTCCACTCCTGCCAGAGCCGGTCACCAACACAGGTCGCTGCCCCAGGAGCTCCCCCCAACTCAGGGAGGTCAGAGCAGCTCCCAGGATGCCCAGCTCCCAGCGAGTCTCTAGGAGCTTCTGGAAGGCACAGCACAGAACCCCGGTCTCAACTCTACTGTCTGCATGAGTGGGAACAGCTCAGTGGACCGACTCCCCTCCTGACCACTAGGCCACCCTCTGGCTCCACCTGGGGCCCTGGCACAGGATTAGGTGCCAGTGCACCTCCCGTCCCAAGGGATGAGCTTGTGTGAAGCAGCCACCTTAGGGCACTCCTTTCCCAATGGGAAGGACATCTGGGAGCATTTCCCCTGCACCACTAGGTACAATCCTAGGTACACAGCCCCCAAATCCATAAAGCCCCAAACAAAAGACCTTTTTTTTTTGTAAGTTTGAAGCGTTTGGCGGCATGACCCCATCTGAGTGGATGTCAGGCTATTTATAATTTTTATTTATCCCATTTGTATAAATATTCATGCTTTTCAGTGAAAGAATATTCATGCATTTGCTACCAGAGGGCTGCCCCAGAACCCCTGGGGCTGTGATATCGTCTGCGTGTGCCGCATCACACACAGTGATACCCCACAACCGCGTCACACACCTGCGGCCAGCTGTGCACTGTATCGCCTTTCTCAAACACGGAAACCTATGAATTCCAAAACACATGGCCGCAGAGCTTCAGATGCAGGCCTGCGGCCCCGTACCAGATCCCACGCTGTGAGATCGCTGGGACCTAACAAAGAGTCAGGCAAGCATGACACTGGGCTCTGTGACCCGCTGTTCACAGAAAAACCCCCGAGGCCTGCCGGCTGCCCTGCAGACAGCACCAGGCCAGCTTCTCCGGCCAGCGGTCTCAGCTGGGACCATGTGGCCACTGCCAGGGATGCCACTCGGCAGAGGGCACAGTGTGGTCCTAAGCACCGTGTCTAGAGAGGGACAAAACAGAAAAGGCCTCAACAAGTTCAGCCAAGACCATCAGGAAGAGGATGGGCTGCTTCTGAGAACAGACAAAAAAATTTTAAAAGAAAATAAAAAAGATTGTAAGTAGCCAGAGCAAAGTGGAGAGTGAATTAATCCAGATTGTAAAACCCTAACTGATGAAGTGGATGCACTCACTCAGTTCCACCAGCCGGAGAGCTCGTGACCCAGACACGTGGAATGAGCCGGAAGGGCAAACAGGGTCAAAGAAAGTTACATCCATAGACAGTGTACCTGGGGCCATGTGAGGTTCTGGAAGGAGGCAGGGCCAGAGGAGTGTCCTGGCCAAGAGAGCTGTCCGCAGCACCAGGCTCCAGTCTTGGGGGAGCCCTAGCCGCTCTGGGGCTCTGGCTGGTCCCCTGATGTGTGAAACGAGGGGTCAGACCTAGCAATATTCCAACTGTTCAGCCAGGGAACCCTTGTTCATACACAGAAGTGAAAATAAATAAGGTCCAAGAAGGGAGGGCAGCTCTCCGCGGGTTGGGGATGGGAGGGATGGGTGGGATGGGTGGCTGAGTGGCTGGGCACTGCTG